GTGGGTCACCCAGTCCAACCCCCCTGCCGAAGCAGGGTCACCTACAGTAGGCTGTAGAGGACCTTGTCCAGGCGGGTCTTGAATATCTCCAGAGAAGGAGACTCCACCACCTCCCTGGGCAGCCTGTGCCAGGGCTCCGTCACCCTCAGAGGGAAGAAGTTCTTCCTCATGTTCAGACGGAACTTCCTGTGCTTCAGTTTGTGCCCGTTGCCCCTTGTCCTGTCGCTGGGCACCACTGAAACGAGTTTGGCCCCATCCTCCTGACACCCACCCTTCAGATATTTATAAGCATTTATAAGGTTCCCTCTCAGCCTTCTCTTCTTCAGGCTGAACAAGCCCAGCTCCCTCAGCCTCTCCTTGTAGGAGAGATGCTCCAGTCCCCTCACCATCCTCGTACCCCTCCACTGGACTCTCTCCAGCAGCTCCTCATAAGGGTTTAAGCTGGTTGAAAGGGTTCGAGGTGTTTGGGTTTTACAACTTTAAAAAAAATTGGTGGGTTTTTTTCATGTTTGTAGCCGTGCAGGACACGTTTATGTTAACCTTGGCCCTGCATTTAATTTATACACCGGTAGTAGCATATTCTAGCCATTTGTGGCCTCTTTAAAGCTTTTCCCTTCAAACCAATCTCTGTATTCATTCTTTGATTCTTTGGTAGCTTCAGAATTTAAATTAACGATGCTCAATGTTTTGTCAAATGACCTGCGGGCATGAATGCCAGCAGAAACAGTCTGAACAGCTACAATGCAAATGCGTGTAAATGCTCCCAAAACTCAGCTCAGAGGAGACAGCTGTGAGTTGCCTCGCTGCGCTCCGGAGCCAAAGTTGGGCCCTCGCGGGGTAAGAAGGGATGGAAAAGCACGCCGGGCATTGCTTTGTACCATAGCACACTGCAGTGTGAAGAGGAAAGTTTAAATGTCTGTTGAACCCCAGGCTATCACTTCCGAGAGGTTCTTTTTGTTGTTGTTGTATTTTGGAATTGCTCATTTTTGTTGAGTATCTTTATCAAAACATACTTGGAAATAGAGAACAACTGCCCCTAAGAGTCATGGGGATCAGCTAATCTTTCCTAAACCTTTAATTTTTGGGGTCATGTTTAGGTGGTGACTGCACTCTGGTGTTTCTTCAGGTTTGAGGGAGATGTGTTTGGAAGTTTTTGCTTGATAAATGCTTTCATTTAAATCCTTCTGCGGGGCTGACAGGCGTAATCATGTTCGGTGTGATCTTGGTGATTATGGATAGCAACAGGGCATCATTGTTAGAACTTGGTGCTAAATGAAACTGCTTTGATTAATTGTAAATCCGTAAGATTGTTCTAGTGTTTTGAGCTGAATATTCATCATTATCAGTTTAAGTGCCCACATAGGGGATCAGCTAAGGAAATTGAGTTGAGGCTAATAGTTAACAATTTACCGTGCATCATGGATTTTCGGTCAAGTGATAAAAGGCTGGCAGGAAATGAGAAATTGATACCGCAAATGAGAGTAGACATATGTTAAGGGTAGCTTTTACAGGATTGTTTGATAAATTATAAATTGGTTTAGGCAAAGCACAATCCATACTGACACATGTCGGTTAGTTTGAAGCTGTAACACCAACACTTGGAATAAGTTTATACATCTGGAGGCAGATCGGTGGCCGATGTAAATTGTCATAGTACTGCTGACGTTAATTGGGTTCCAGCAATTTATGCTGATGGAGAGTATGCCTCAGTATCTGTAATAAACAGTGTTCTGTATTGGTAGAATATGAGTCCGAGAAGGAGCTGGAATTAACTTTGAATGTGTAAGTAGACTTTGTTAGGGACATGGGATTTTAAGCAAACAACTTTTTTTCAAAGCTTAGTTCATGGCTAGGTGTGAGAAGAGACATGTGAGTTACCTTATTTGTTACTTTGCAGGAGATATTAAAATTTTGGGGTCTAAGTCATGTCTTCGTTCTGCAAAAGCTTTTGCAAAGGCCTAGCTTTGTGCATAATTTCACTGATACCAGTAACACTGCTCATGTATCGGAGTCAGCATGTGCAGCCGTGGACCCTGAAAGCGTGTAAAAAAAACTTAGTGCGGTGCTTTAAGGGTCTCTTGTCTATAAAGCAAGAAGGGATTTTGTTTTAGCTTTACCAGAACGTTGCTTCGAAAGTGTAGTGATCAGAGGATCTGGCCCAGCAGCACAGCCCATGTCGTTTGCTCAGACGTGAAGCAAGCCAGCCGCAACAGCCCCGCAGTACTGCTGCTCAAGAACTGCATTTCCTGCATCAAAGGATAGGATTAGAATTAATTGTACTACTTTCTGTTGCAGATCCGTGTTTATATATTCCTCGTTTTGCACACATGTTGGAGTTTGGGGATAAGAACCACGAGGTGTCCATGACGGCTCTCAGGCTGTTACAGAGAATGAAGCGGGACTGGATGCACACCGGCCGCCGGCCCTCCGGGCTCTGCGGAGCAGGTACGTCAGGCGCTGGGTGCATCACTTCCCCCGCAGTGCCTTGGGCGGGAGAGCCTGGGAGTTGGGAACGGATGAAGGCTTTCTCATTTCCTCGGTGATGCCGTATTCTCTGGGTTGGGTGCTGTCAGGCACCTGCAGATCGTACAGGTCTTCACTGAAATGGTTTCTGAAACTCAAACTTCCATTTTTGCCCTTGCTCCTCCATTACTTGCTCAAATCCTTTGTATCTTATGTTTTAGATTTTTTAACCTCCTTTCTTGTGCTCCTCTCGCCCTCGCTCTCTGCAGGGTCTTGCTGCTGGAACGTTTTTTTGTCAGCTAAAATGACACCATTAGTGCAAGCACTTTGATTTGTGTCGTTACACAGAGTCTTATGCAAGAAATGCCCTCTTCGACCTGTTCAGTGAAATTATTTTCCTCTCCTTCTTCATCTTTTTCCAAGATCCATCGCTGTCATGATGCTTACAAAAAAATGTACCGGTTTGGGAGGGCTAGGTTAAAAGGTAGTCAGTACCAGCCAGTGAGGTCAGAGTAACGAAGTGCCTAGATAGTCACAGAGTTCACATATGCCCTTTATTTCATTTGAAAGATTTTACATGTGCATACTGGAATGAGAAATAGCACTCGAACCCTAGGGAACCCAGGACTATGCAATCTTCTTGAAATTTCTGTTTTCTTTTTGTTAATAGTCCTTGCTTATTGCACATCGCTAATAATTTGAGTATAGGCTCTATGGGAGACCAGCCTGGTCTTTGATGCACTACGTAGACTGTATCCACATGGGCAAGTAATTTGATTGAACAGCCGCGGATCAGTAGGCTGAAGCAGGTGGTGCCAAGTCCCCTATGTCCATCCACATAAGATGCAGTTCATGTGGTTTACTGTGGGCTGGGTTCAGTTTGGCTCCCTGGCCCAGATGTCTGTGCCGTACGTTGTTCGGAGCTGTGTAACAGACCAGTTGTTAGTTCAGGCCCTGATGTTCCCATTAGGAACCGGAGCACTTTAAACACATAGCTGGGGTGGAGCTCTGGTTTAGTTTCCTCTGAAAGGAATCCTTTCGTATGCTTAAAACTGTGCTGAGCCACTGCACGATGAGCGGGGGCGATGCTTGAAAACAGAGCTGGTGCTCGGAATCAACACACTGATGTAAACGCAGCCAGTACTGGTTTTCGAGCTGTACAGGGGGTCTTGCAGGAGAGCACTCGGCCACTGGCAAGTTGGTGGTGACAGCAGTGAGGATGACAGCTTAAGCAGATTCAGTGTTTCACTTCTGGCTTGTGCAAGAGTTAACTGGAGATCTTTTTATGCAGGACTAGTAAATTCTGCTAAAAAAAATGATAACTTTGAAAATATGTGAACAATGAGATGTTCTTGTGCTGTACTGAAGTAGCAGACAACGGTTTCCCAAATGCAAAAGCGCGGCGTTTTTCAGGGTGCCATGTGCAATCAGCTTCGTGTTACTGGGCAAGAAGCGAAGTTTGTAAAGTCAAGCCAATCACCTGTATTCATGGACACAGCTGAGCAGAACCATTTACAGCTCTTTAGCTGAAGGCAGAGACAAAGAGAGGGTGTAGTTATCTGACTGTTTTCTGCTTTTCTTCAGGAAATTCTCCTCTTTTTGACATTGACTTTCCCTGCTTATTCTCTAGCTCTGCTAGTGGCAGCAAGAATGCATGATTTCCGACGTACTGTTAAAGAGGTCATCAGGGTGGTCAAGGTTTGTGAGTCTACATTAAGGAAAAGGTCAGTGCAGTTTTATTGCTTTTATCTTGGGTTTACAGTACTGAAAAGCGGTGTAGTCTAAAATGAATGTATATTGGAGAAAACCATGTTCTTTTCCTTTTCAGAAGTGCCAAGAATAAAATAAGTACAACATGTTTTAGCTGGTCACTTTTAAGTACTAACACCTGCCTCTTATGTAAGGCCTCAAATGCTCAGCAGAGATGGTGAGGAGCACTGTGCCCATTTAACAGGTGAAAAGTTGAAGGCAAAAAAACATTGGGTCAGAAATGTTAACAGTGTTGTCATGTCCTCAGAAGAAATAATTGATTGATTCTCAAAGTTGAGGATGTACTATGGGATTTCTTTTTTCATTAATCCAGCATATAATGCTGAAAAGACTTGTCCTTTAGCTGTTGTTGAACAGAACTTTTCAGAATACTTTGCTAAATGTTCATTTCAATAGTGTTGCACTGCTAATAAACAGAAGACAGAGCAGTGAGTCTGATGATGCGTTCACTGAAGGGGTCAGAAGTGGAATTACCAGCAGAATGTGGGCCTGAAAGTGGGAATTTCCTAAATACCTTTGGCTTTTTTTTTTTAAAAAGATCTAGTAGCATTTTCCATATTTTGATGGAGTAAGCAGTCACCCAGTTTCCTTCATTTTAGTTCTGAAAAGCTGTAACATTTTCTTTCCCCGTAGGTTCTGTAAAAAATGACCTGACTGTGGAATACCATGCTTTCTGTTGCCCCGGTTAGAAATCTTTGTACCACTGATAAATTCTGAAGTTTGTTCTACCAGGGCCCTGGTGTCTCTCTTTCTCTCCACCTCACTGAGGCCAACTTAAGCACATCTAGTTGAGTCTAATACTTGTTAATAATATTAATTTCTTAATTGTGAAAAATGTTTTTGCCCCAGATCTTCATTTGTGGAACAGCAATGATACTATTTCCCTACCATGTGTGGGTGGTATAGGGATAAATTTAAAGTGTTTGAAGTGCTTTAAGGTACTACAACAATAAGGATGGAGCCGTACAAATGCCAGGTTTTTTTTCTCTGGTCAATAGGTCATGTGTTTTAATATGCATTTTGTATGATTAATGATTTATGCACCCACAAACTACTTCAAGATGCCTTGCTTAAATAGTTAGAGTTTGTTCTTACGAAGAAAATAAGCATAATAAATTAGAGTTGGAAGGAAAATTAATTTGAGCGATTGTTTCAAGCGAAGAAATCGTGCTTCAACATTCATGCTTTGAAATGTTTACTCAAGTCACACACATCAACTAAAATGACAGCGTTATTTACTTTGACAGGGTAAACGTGACAGCTGAATTATTTTCAGGCAGCTATAATTACGACTGTATTTATCACGAATCTATAAATTTGATTGATGTTTTTCAAATAAGAGCATGTTATATAGTATTTAACGAAGGCAAATAAAAAAAATACCTTTGAATAACTCTTTCTGCACTCCAGTTTTTTTCCTCTTCTTTCAAGAATTCCTCACAAAATGCCATCGGGTAGAAGTTGTCTAAATTAATAAGCACTTGTTTCACATTCTTAAAAATGTCTTTGCTTCTCAGTTTGATGTACAGTTTTATTTCCTTTTAATTATTGCTATAGTTACTCTGGTTTGTAAAGAGCTACTGCTGCTTCGTGCCTTGCGAAGGTGTCGAGCGTAGTTGGGTGAATGCTCACTAGTGGATGGCGTTGGATGCTGCGCTCCCTGCTGATGGCTTTGCCCTGGCAGCTCTTGGAGTGGAACCAAACGAGGGTCCACATAACGCTGAAGCGTCCAGCCTGCGGGTTCTCCCGTACGGTTTGATTTAGCTCCCGCTGGTTGCGTGGTGCCTGGGGACGCACAGGGTGTCGGAAGCTGGGTTTGCTTTCGGTGACGATGGATTTCCATGGCAGAAATCTGCATGGGAAGGGGCGGCACTGGCGCAAGGTGCCTTGTCCCCCTGCCCTGCCCCCAGCCCGGCAGCCGGGGGGCATGGGGCCGTGCCGATCAGTGGCTTGGCTGGGGGTGCAGGAGCAATGCTTTTTAAGAAAGCACCGCGTGGCTTCCAGTTTGGGGAAGGCCCTCAGCGAGGGGTGGCAGCCCTTCCCTAAGGAGGGCACGATTTCTGCTCCTCTGCAACGCAGCTGATGCGGCTGTGCAAAAGGGGATTAGGTCACCCTGTTGTCCATCAGCGGGAGAGCACCAAGCCCTGCGTGCCTGTAGTCTGTCACCTCTTTCACCACCATGTGCAGGAGGAGTAGCTCTTGTGAGAAGGTTCACAAAAATGTGATGTACCTTCAGGTCATAAAAATGAATGATCTGATCATAAAGGGAATATGTTTTGGAACAAAAAAGTGACAAAACATGACTCATGGACCCTGTCACTCGTCTTGGAATGAAGAGTTGTTAATTTAACCATCTGTTCAGTTAAAAACCAGTGTGTGTTCAGTCCTCAGCACAGGAAAGACATAGACCTGTTGGAGAGGGTCCAGAGGAGGACACAAAAGTGACCTGAGGGCTGGAACACCTCTCCGATGAGGAAATGCTGAGAGAGTTGGGGCTGTTCAGCCTGCAGAAGAGAAGGCTGCAGGGAGACCTTAGAGCAGCCTGCCAGTACCTGAAGGGGACCTATAAGAAAGCTGGAGAGGGACTTTTTACGAGGGCCTGTAGTGATAGGACAAGGGGTAATGGCTTTAAACTAAAAAAGGGTAGATTTAGATTAGATCAAAGGAAGAAATTCTTGACTCTGAGGGTGGTGAGGCCCTGGCCCAGGTTGCCCAGAGAAGCTGTGGCTGCCCCCTCCCTGGCAGTGTTCCAGGCCAGGTTGGATGGGGCTTTGAGCACCCTGCTCTGGTGGAAGGGGTCCCTGCCCATGGCAGGGGGGTTGGACTGGAGGATCTAGGTTCCTCCCAACCCAAACCGTTCTGTGATGCTATGATTCTGTGATTACTATGCGTGGGGCTTTGGTAGGATCTTGGTAAGAAAACTTTGTAGTTAGATCACAGGGCCTTCTACCTTTTGGTTTTGAAGCACACAATTAAAATGTAAAGCTTGTTGCTGTTGTTGGAAGTGAACGTATTAAATATTAATACATGCACTGATAATTCTGTCTCATTTCCAGTCTAATTGAAATGATACTAACTTATATTTCACTTCATATATTCAAAGTACTGTACAAATATTAACTAATTAGTCAAATTGTTATTTTCTGTGCAATCATCTGTGGAGATAGTAGAAATTGACTTTTAATAAACCCAACCCTTTTATTTGGGTTAATCCTCACGTTGGTGCCTGTGTTCAATGCACCTGTCTTCGCTGCTGCCTTTTTAACCTTTAGATACTCTGTCCCTTCATCTGTTTATTCACCTATCACATACTTTCTCTGCATACTAAATTCTGTCTTATCTCCAGTGAGAATAATTTTTGCGATATTTGTCTATTGTGCATTATCTAATAGTGTGTGGCCCTTATGTCTGTTTGAAGATCTTAGGCACTTCTTCAGTAGAAATAAAAAAAAATCAGCTTATCTTTGTTAGCACTTGCATTTTCTTTCTTTGGCTTACTCTCTTTATCTTTAATTTAAGATGCTTTTTCCATAAGAAATACTTCTTCTCAGTTCCATAAAGTGCTATCTGTTAAAAAAACCATTCGTGATGAACTTCAGAAGGAGTAAAGCTTCATTTAGAAGGAATTGGAAGGAAAGGCCAGAATGGGTTTAAAGCACTCATTTTTGAGGTGATTGTTTTTTTCTCACAACATTTTTGGTGAAGGAAGATGAGACTTGTATAAAGGAACTCCATTGACCAGGCTGAGTGGAGAGCCTGCAAGGACTCTCGTAAATGGGGCGCTTTGCTGATGGCCTGGGCACCCAGCTACAGCTCTTTCCATGACTGTTCTAGTAATTTTCTGGAAAAATTAAAGATTCATGCATAGAGATATATGTATTGCCTGCAGCTTTTCTTAGTTTTGTTTCTGCAATGTGTAGCTCACATAAACTTCATGTCCAAGCTCCTGGTGCAGTCTGAGGCCAGGTGGGTTCTGCAAGCGCAGGCAGGGTCAGGAGCAGGTTGGTGGGTGAGTCCAGAGTCAGGGTGAGAAGAGAAGGCAGCAGGCATGCTTGCAGCTGCGGGGCAGCTGTGAGGTTGTGTTTTCCACAACACCGAAGCCGAACCAAGGCCAGGACTGAAGGGAAAGGCGCGAAGCATTCTGTGTTCAGCTGCGATCCGGGTAAAGCCATGCTAAAATCCTGCGAAAGGTGTCTGATGAACTCAGTGAGAGCTGTTTACCTAAGGCGTTTGAGCGTGCAGAAAGGCAGAGCGTGCTCAGGACGTCAGAGTTGTGTAAGTGCTCTTGGTTGAAGTGTGCTGTGGAGAGAAGCTTCCAGAAAACTAGGCAAGTTACTTCACGTGAAGGAGCTTGTGGTGGTGTCTGCTCTCATCTCGGCTCAGCAGCCGTGGAGCTCCTTCGCTCGCCGCTGTTGTGACAAGCCAAGAAAGTCAATTGAGAAATATTTTATGTCTCCAGTTAAATAATTTCAAGTGGCTTATAGATGATTTCTAGAAATCTTTCTGGTGTGGCGAGTGAAATATGACTTGAGCCGCGCAGGTTGGTGTTGCATACCTTTGTAAGTTGGATTGTCTGTTTTAATGAAAAAAGGTTTTGTTTCTGAAGAATCCAATTTCACAGGCAGTGTTCCTTTTTATAAATCCGGCTTCTATACAGCTAGTCAGCTAATACGTTAATTAGATTCCTAATATATTTTAGTACTTCATACTTATTTTTAAAATGTCATTTCAAAATTATTTGGTGTCTGTTACTTTTAATACAATAATTAACTTATTAGCTCTAGCTCGGGCTTAGATCTGGTAAACAGTTTTCTCTGTGTTTGACTTTCCTCATCTGAGCGGCGGTTAAGAAATTAAGCAGCGCGCTATTTTTCTTTTCTGGGAGATCACAGGGCGTTTTTGGCAGACCACAGTGGAGGAACCGTGCTAATGAAACAAGATTTTAAGGAATGCT